ACCGCCGGCTGTTGCCCCTCGTCCTCCTGCTCTCTCTGCCCCTTATCCGTCCCTTCTGCCTGGTGATTCTGCTCCTCAGGCTGCTGGCACTGCGCAGCCGTTCCAGGCGTTTGTGGGTCCTCTTCGCGCGGCAGAGGTCCCGGAGGCGACCCTTGGGCAGCTGTGGCGCCTCTCTGAGGGGTTGCGGGTTGTTCATCTGATTCAGATGTATGGTCACGCTGGTCTCTCTCGCGGGAACTCCCTGGATGACGGTTCCCGGGAGGAGTGTCTTGACGCCGCGGATCGGCTCGCGGAGCTCCTGGCGCCCGTGTTAGCTGCGCCCGCGAGGGGAGGAGTTGCCGGCGTTGGGCAGCTGGGGACGGCTGTCCGAGGCTTGCGGCGCTTTTCGCGCGCTGGGACTGCAGCCGATGTGATCGGCGCAAGCACGGCGGGAGCTGCACCGCTCGCTGACGGGGCTTCTCGCGGTTCTTGACGCGGACCAGATGTAGCGTCCGCCTCTTCCTGCGCCATGTTGATGCCGAGTGTTGTCTAAGGCAGGTGTAGGTGATGCCATTGCGTGTATGTCTTGGATAATAATTGCTTGTCCCTTGCTCTCTTGCTGTTCCCTATCGCGCAGCCGAAGGCCGCGCTGTCGAGCGTCGGCCGCCGAAGGCGGCCGGCGCGAGCGAAAGTTTCTGCCACCAAACAGAATAATGAAGAGAAGAGGCCGTGAGAGGCCTCTTATATAGCTCAAAGGAAGAGGGCAGAGGGCTAAGGGAGAGGGCAGAGGCTAGGTCCCTCTCTCTCTCTCTCTCTCTCTCTCTCTCTCTCTCTCTCTCTCTCTCTCTCTCTCTCTCTCGCTCTCTCTCGAACGAGCGAAAGTTTCTGCCACCAAACAGAATAATGAAGAGAAGAGGCCGTGAGAGGCCTCTTATATAGCTCAAAGGAAGAGGGCAGAGGGCTAAGGGAGAGGGCAGAGGCTAGGTCCCTCTCTCTCTCTCTCTCTCTCTCTCTCTCTCTCTCTCTCTCTCTCTCTCGCTCTCTCTCGAACGAGCGAAAGTTTCTGCCACCAAACAGAATAATGAAGAGAAGAGGCCGTGAGAGGCCTCTTATATAGCTCAAAGGAAGAGGGCAGAGGGCTAAGGGAGAGGGCAGAAGCTAGGTCCCTCTCTCTCTCTCTCTCTCGCTCTCTCTCGAACGAGCGAAAGTTTCTGCCACCAAACAGAATAATGAAGAGAAGAGGCCGTGAGAGGCCTCTTATATAGCTCAAAGGAAAAGGGCAGAGGGCTAAGGGAGAGGGCAGAGGCTAGGTCCCTCTCTCTCTCTCTCTCTCTCTCTCTCTCTCTCTCTCTCTCTCTCTCTCTGTGTCTCTCTCTCTCTCTCTCTCTCTCTCTCTCTCTCGCTCTCTCTCGAACGAGCGAAAGTTACTGCCACCAAACAGAATAATGAAGAGAAGAGGCCGTGAGAGGCCTCTTATATAGCTCAAAGGAAGAGGGCAGAGGGCTAAGGGAGAGGGCAGAGGCTAGGTCCCTCTCTCTCTCTCTCTCTCTCTCTCTCTCTCTCTCTCTCTCTCTCTCTCTCTCTCTCTCTCTCTCTCTAATGGTCCGTGTATTGATATAGGAAAGGGTACAGGCAAGCAAGGTAAGGCTAGAGATCACAATCATGAAACCACAACTAACATGCTAACACCGTCCTCTAGAGCTCAACTAGGGGCTCAATCACCGCAAAGCAGTCCCCTAGGTGGAACTCTGGCCCTATCCCCCCAACGGGCGGGTTCTCAGCTATCGCTGCCTCACATGACTTGATGAGGTAACCAACCGATTGTGCCCTCTGCAGGGCAACCGACCACCGCTGTCGGAATTGGTGTAGGAACTTAGCAGCCTGGTAGGACTTTGAGTCGGCGTTGAAGTGTCGCCGAGCTGTTGTATCCGCTAGTAGTTTTAGGAAAACCGGCACCTCGGCGCATGGGCAGCCGTAGGTCTCAACCGCCAGGGGGAAAAAGCGCACCGTGTCTGGTAGGTTGGCATAGTGCTTGAGCTTCTTGTCAGCCTGCTCCCGTGCCGCCCATCCTCTTCCTTTCAGCGCCTTCGGGTCCCTAGTACTGATGGGGTCGGTAACGGTAACGTCGCACACATATACCGCGCCGCTGCTCTTGTCCCTCATGGTGAAAACTGCGGTCTGCTCCTCAACTGGGCAGTATTCAGCTGATTCTCCATGTACTATCAAGCCCGCATCCTCGGCCATGCTGATGCAAGCGTCGCGGAGCTCGTTGTGGATGTTGATGGGATGTTTCCCTGTTCCGCAGCGAAAGAGGTGATTCGGTAGGCGTGGGTCAGTGATGGCGACATGCTCCGTGCAGTCACAGTTCGCCGGCATTGAGAAGGGTAAGGCGAGCCTGAAGCGAACTGCGTTTGCAAAGTGTGTGGGGCCAATGCGACGGGTTGATGCGATCGGGATTGCAGTGATTCAGTCTCCTGTCCCGTAGCCTGTCAGTGAGTACATCCGCTGCGTATGCCCGTAGAGCGGGTTCAGCCGCATACGCCGTGTTTCCCGCACCTGCACTGCGTATCTACTCCCCTGGACCTGGAGTGCTAACGCGTACTGGAGTTTAATGCCCTTCGGCTCCAGTCTCTCCTTCTCCAGCACTTCGCGTGCATCTAATGGCAGCGCCGCTTCGCATTCGGCGAGCCACGTATGTAACGGCGTAGTGACGTCGCCCGGTAGCAGCATGTGGTTTCTGACCGACGATAGGATATCGTCGTCGTCAAGCGTCATCGAGTCAACGAATAGTGCCGCCTGATTGAAGCTTGCTAGGAATCCGTGGATTCCTTCGACGGTCGGATCTGTGAGGCCGATCCCCCCAAGCGATGGAGGAAGCGACGCCTGTGCCCACACCCGCGTCTGCTCCGCCTGGCTAGTTGGGACTCGGATGCCGCACGCCGTCAGCAAGGTGGCCAAGAGGTCCCGGCCCCACTGGGACCATTTGTCGCGCGCCAATAGATTTAGCGGTGTGGTGCGTGTCAGATACGCTACGCGGCAGGAGATGCAGCGGGTCAGTAGTAACGAGGCCACCTGGGGATCCGTCCTTTCCAGCAGTGGCAGTGGTTTCGCCATCCCGTCGAGTTGATCAGCCAGGAACTTGACTGTGCTGGCAGGGGGTCCGAGATAGCTGCCGAGGAGACGGACGCCGTCCGTGTTGAAGGGCACTCCCAGTGGTAACATCGGCGCGCAGGTATCGTCGATGCACCATGCTGCGCATTTACCAGGGTTATGCGTGAGCCCGAGCGGTACGAGCTTGTCAGTAAAGCAGGTGAAGGTGGCTACAGCTGTGTCAGGGTCTCCCAGGAAAGTGACGTCATCCGCGTAGGCAAGGCAGAGTACCCCAGGGTGTGCCGCGGCTGTCTCACGAAGTGCAGGGTGTATTCCGGCGGCAAAAAGCAGTGGACCGAGTGGGTCCCCTTGGCGAACCCCACGTTTGCTTTGCAGTGGTTCGCTCCTGAAGTTGGCATCGAGGTGTAGTTGCGACGGGTTACCATAGGTCAGCCGGACGAGTGGAAGGAGAGGCGAGAGGTTGGGTTCGTGTAACGCCTCAGCGATCGCCTGCCGCGAAATGCTGTTGAAAGCATTCGCGATGTCTGTTTGTAGTACCAGGCTGTTCGGACGCGCATCCAAAAAGGATCGGGCAGTGTGGATGATGGCCTCTGCTCCACTTGGCACCGCAACCCCATACTGCAGAGGGAGGAAGTATTCACGGACAGCTTCGCCCATGACGGTCAGCGCCGCCTTTGCTGTCAGCCGCGTCAGACATTCCCCTATCGCTATTGGTCGGGCGCCCCCTCCAGGTTTGGCCAAGGCTATGAGGCGGGAGGCGGTCAATAATTCTGCTACGGGCGGTGGCAGTTTTCCGCTGAGCATTGTGTTCACTAAGGCGTGTAGGTCGGTGCAGACCGATGCGTTGGTAATCGCCGCGTCGCGCAGGTGCTCAAATGTCGTTCCTGACGGTCCGGCGCCGACACCATTTTCACACCTGCCCAGGATTTTGGCGAACTCCGCGTGACTGATGGACAGGTTCGTGGTGTGCGTGGTTGGCCATGTCAGCGTCTCAGTTCCAGCTGGCGGGTGTTTCTGGCGCAGCTCGTTCAGAATGTCTGGACTTGGCGTGCAGACGGGCGTTGACTCCAGGGCCAACATAGCTCGGCGCAGACTGCCACGTTTCGCGAGACCCTCGGCTCGGTTGATGACTCCAGTCTCGTCAGTCTGGTGACGTGGCGGAGGTGGAGTGTTGACCACTTCTACGGCCTTGGTATATAACTGTTCCCATTCGCCACGCTGGAACTGGCGTAGCCGAGCCTTTACTTGTGGCCAATTAGGTCGCTTGGGCGAGGGTTGGCGAAGAGTGAGACGCGGTAGAAAAAGCAGCAGTCGCCAACCCGCTTCCGAGTCAGGGTTTTGCGACAGGTGGAGAAGCGGGGTGAGAAGCGCCAGCGAAAGGAGCTGACACAGGTTTGGCGGTAAACGCCGTGACAGAGGCGGCTGGCGACTGTCATAGAGCGCCGAGATATCCCAGTTCGCGACACTGGCGAACAAGTCTGTTCGCCTCGCCAGTTCGTCTGGTGAAAAATAGCGGGGGTTTTGTGGGTTGCCCCGGACCGCGGTATCGTTGCGATTGGCCCGATTTCCGCGAGGGCGGTTCGATGTTGTCGCCCGTGAAAGAGTTGGAATTGGGGCCGTCCGATCGCTAGTGGACGGTCCTCCTGCAGCCCCTGCCCTCGTCGAGGCACCTTGGCCTGCTCCATTCTCCTCAGCAGCTTCCAAGTTCCTTTTTGCCTCCTCCAAGCTATCGCTTTCACTTGCGAGAAGCGGCTCTTCCCTATAAGTAGGGTCATTTCTTTCATCAGCCTCATTAGCCATCTCCTCGTTGATTAAAGCCTGCCGTGCTGCTGCCTGGTACCCGTTCTCCGGTCCTCCGCCTACTCCGCTCGCTTCCTGTCTCCCAACCCCTCGGCCACCTCTCCCTCGCGATGGTGATCGCCGGTGGTCCTGAGCTGTCGCCAGTGCCCGCTGCCGCGCCGTTGGCTGTGGTCGGCAGGACCCCGTCGGAGCGCGGAACGGTGACCATCCCGACGAAGCCCCCTGTACCACCGGCTCCGAGGCCCGGGACAACAGCCGCTGAAATCCCTCGTCCCCTCGCACACGCGGATCCTGTTGCGTCGTTCGTTGCCCCCAAGGGCTCTCTGACGGTGGACGTTCCGGCGGCCCCCCTCGGTGCTCCGGCTGCCCCTGTGTGGCTGGGCCCTGACCCCCTTGCTCTGGTGGTTGTTCCGCACCCCCCTGCTCCTGTTGGTGCCCTGTCTGTCCCCGCCGTCCCTGCTCCTCTGCTTGCCGCCGGTGCCCCGGCTGTGCCGATCCCTGTCGGCGCCCCCGCAGTGCCGAACCCTGCCGTTGGTTCGTCGCCGCAGGCGGTGTCAACCACCACTGGCGGCCCGGGCCCTGGGGAGTCGGGGGGAGCCGCCCCTCCGATTGTTCCCGCGTCATCTGCTGTTGTTCCGCAGACTCAGCGCCCGCCGTCTCCTGGCGGCCGGCAGCATCGGCCGCACTCCCCTGCGCCACGTGACGAGCGGGAGAGGTCGAGGCGGCGACACGACTCTCCTCGGCGCCGTGGTTCACAGGCGAACTGGGCTGCATCTCGTGGCGGGCGCGGTGGCTGGTGGGGAGGGCGCGGTCGTGGTGGGGACTGGGCGTATGATCCTGTCGATGGCCGATCTGCAGCGAGTTGTGTCGGCTGCGGTGCACGAGGAGCGGAACGGGCAGGCGAGCCAAAGCAACTCGCCGCGCGGCCCTCCAACCCGTGCGTCTCCTCCCCCCTCCGCCTGCAACTCCTCTTCCTCGGCCGGATGTTCCCCCTGCCTTCGCTCCCGCTGCATCTGCCGCCGCTCCTGGAATTCGCATGCGGCTGCCGTGGATTCCCCTTGTGGCAGGTATTGAGTTTGTGACTGCGGCAGGGGGACCTGTGACGGCGCAGTATCCGTCCCTCCTGCCTGTGGGTCGTGCTCCTCCGGCTGCTGCGCTACTGGTACAGACGTTGGTGGGGCCCCTTCCATCGGCTGAGGTCCCTGAGGCGTCTCTGGGGCAGTTGTGGCGCCTCTCAGAGGGTCTGCGGGCTGTGCATCTGATTCAGGTGTATGGTCATGCGGCTCTCTCCCAGGGCGTTTCTCTGGATGGCGGACCTCGGGATGAGTGCCTGGATGCCGCTGATCGGCTTGCCGAGCTCCTGGCGCCCGTGTTGGCCGCGCCCGCGCGGGGTGGAGTTGCGGGCGTTGGACAGCTTGGGACCGCTCTCCGCGGTCTGCGCCGGTTTTTGCGCGCAGGGACTCCAGTCGACCTGATCGGCGCAACCACTGTGGTGGTGCGCGAGCTTCATCGCTCCCTGACGGGGCTCCTTGCCGTTCTTGACGCGGATCGGATGTAGCTTCCGCGTCCACGTGATCCATGGCCTTCTTAGTAGGTAGATCCCACTGCCATGCGTGTATGTCGTTGCATTATGAAAGGTTGTCGGTTGTGATGCGCTTGCCACCCCTAACGCGAGGCCAACGAAGTGAAGAATGAAGAGAGAGAGGCCACGGGAGACCTCTTATAGCTAGGGAACTAGAGGGCAGAGGGCTAAGGGAGAGGGCAGAGGCTAAGTATCTCTCTCTCTCTCTCTCTCTCTCTCTCTCTCTCTCTCTCTCTCTCTCTCTCTCTCTCTCTCTCTCTCTCTCTCTCTCTCTCTCTCTCTCTCTCACTCTCTCTCTCTCTCTCTCTCTCTCTCTCTATCTCTCTCTCTCTCTCTCTCTCTCCCTCTCTCTCTCTCTCTCTCTCTCTCTCTCTCTCTCCCTCTCTCTCTCCCTCTTTCTCTCTCTCTCTCTCTCTCACTCTCTCTCTCCCTATCTCTCTATCTCTCACTCCCTCCCTCCCTCCCTCCCTCCCTCCCTCCCTCTCTCTCTCCCTCTCTCGCTCTCTCCCTCTCTCTCTCTCTCTCTCTCTCTCTCTTTCTCTTTCTTTCTCTCTCTCTCTCTCTCTCTCTCTCTCTCTCTCTCTCTCTCTCTCTCTCTCTCTCTCTCTCGAATGGTCCTGATATTAATAGAACGGAGTACAATCATGCAACAACTAGGCACACTTATAACTAGCCAAATATCCTAGCTACTAGCCAACCGCCTAGAGCTCCACTAGGGGCTCCAGCACAGTACAACAATCTCCTAGGTACAGCGCGTCGTGTGTTCCTCCTACGGGCGGGTTCTCTGCCACAGCCGCCAAGTTAGATTTCATTAAGTATCCCACAGATTGTGCCCTCTGCAGCGCCACAGACCACCTTTGCCGAAACTGATGGAGGAATTTGGCAGCTTGATATGAGTGAGGGTTGGCGTTGAAGTGGCGCCTAGCTGCCCTGTCCTCCAGTAGTTTAAGAAAAACTGGTACCTCTGCGCATGGGCAGCCGTAGGTCTCTACGGCTAGTGGGAAGAAGCCGACTGATGCTGGCCTATTCTCGTAATGCTTGATTTTCTTATCCGCCTGCTCCCTCGCGGCCCACCCTCTTCCTTTCGTCGCATTCGGGTCCCTTGTGCTGATGGGGTCCGTTATCGTCACGTCGCACACCCATACGGCCCCAGAGCTCCTGTCCCGCATGGTGATATCAGCCGTCTGTTCCTCGACCGGCGTGTACTGCGCCGACTCTCCATGAACTATAAAGCCGGCATCTTCCGCCATGCTAATGCAGGCATCGCGCAACTCGTTGTGGGTATTAATCCTATGCTTGCCTGTGCCGCAGCGGAAGAGGTGGTTCGGTAGCCTGGGGTCTGTGATTGGCACGTGCTTCGAGCAGTCGCACTTCGCGGGCGTGGAGAAGGGGAGGCCCAGCCGGAACCGTACGGCGTTGGCGAAGTGTTCCGGGCCGATGCGTCGTGTCGGTGCTATGGGGATGGCTAACAGCCAGTCGCCTGTGCCATACCCCGTGAGTGAAAGCATGCGTTGGGTGTGGCCGCTCAGTGGGTTCAGCTTCATGCGCCGTGTGTTCGGCAACTGCACTGCGTAATGGCTCCCCTGCACAGACACCGCCAGCGCGTGCTGCAGCTTCACGTCCGTCGGCCCCAGCCTCTCCTTCTGCAGCAGCTCCTTCGCGTCACTTGGTAGAGTCTTCTCACAATCCGCCAGCCAGGTGTGTAATGGCGAGGCGGTATCCCGGGGCAGTATCCTCTGGGTTGCTGTAGTCGCCAGTATGTCACTCTGGTCCACCAGCAGGGCATTCAGTAAGTTTGCCGCTTGCGTGAAGCTCGCGACGAAGCCTTTCCGCCCTTCGACAGTGGGGTCTGTTAATCCAATGCCCCCTAGTGAGGGAGGCAGCGACGCTTGTTCCCACACCCGTTCCAGCTCCTCGTCGCCCTTCGGAGGTTGGATGTCGCAAGAGGTAAGTAATGTGCTCAGGAGGCCGATCCCCCATCGTGACCAGACGTCGTTGTGTAGCAGGCACAGGGGCGTCGTCCGGACCAGATAAGACACGCGCCTGGAGATACAGCGGGTCAGCAGGAGCGACGCCACCTGAGGGTCAGTCCGTTCGAGCAGTGGTAAAGGCGCCGCCATTCCCTGCAGTTGCTCCGTCAGGTAAGCCGCTGCTCCGCTCTCGGTTCCTATGAAGCTACCTAGCAACCGCACACCGTCGCCTGCGAACGGAACTCCTATGGGGAGGCTGCCCGCCGGTGGTGCGTTCTGGCTCCATGATGCGCACTTCACTGGGTTGTGGTGTAGCCCCAGTTGTTTCAGGTTCGCGGTAAAGTGATTAAACGCAGCCACCGTGTCATCGATGTCGCCTAGGAATGTTACGTCGTCAGCGTAGGCGAGGCAAAGGACGCCTGGGTGGGCCACGGCGGTTGCACGGAGTGCTGGGTGGATTCCAGCCGCGAATAGTAACGGTCCTAATGGATCCCCCTGGCGAACTCCCCGTTCACTACTAAGTGGCGGGCTGTTGAAGCCTGCGTCAAGGTGAAGCTGTGAAGGCTGCCCGTATGAAAACTGAACTAAGGGCAGTAGCGGGCTTAGAGCTGGGTCCTGTTGTGCTGTTGCTATAGCCGAGCGGGAGATGCTGTTGAAGGCGTTTGAAAGGTCTGTTTGGAGGATGAGGCAGCTGGGGTTCAGGTTCGTGAACATTCACGATGCATGGATAATCGCCTCTGCACCGCCTGTTACCGCGACCCCGAATTGTAATGGGAGGAAATAACCTCGCGCTTCTTCGCCCATTAGCGACAGGGCTGCCTTTGCAGCGATCCGTAGGATGCATTCGCCGATTGCGATCGGAAGGGCTCCACCCCCGGGTTTGGCTAATGCGATGAGGCAGGAGGCTGTAACTAAGCTGGCGACTGTTGGCGAGAGTTTTCCGCCCAGTAAGGTGTTGACCAGCGCGTGGAGATGTTCGCACACTGACGCGTTGACCAGCGACGCGTCGCGTAAATGTTCAAATGTGGTTCCAGATGGGCCGGCCCCGACCCCATTTTCGCATCTGCTGAGTAGTTTGACGAAGTCAGGTTTGGTGATAGCGAGGGCAGGTGTAGGCGTGGTGGTGGGCCATGTCAGCGGTGTGTCGGTGGCGGGCGGGTGCTTTTCCCGTAGCTCGTCCAGCGTGGCAGCGGTTGGTGTGCAGACTGGGGTTGACTCGAGAGCCAAAACAGCTCGGCGCAGACTTCCGCGCTTCGCCAGGCCTTCAGCGCGGCTTATTTTCCCCTTTTCGTCAGGTTTATGACGTGGTGGTGGAGTCGATTTTACCGCTTCTACCGAATCGCGGTAGAGTTCTTCCCATTGGCCCCGCCGAAATTGTTTCAGTCGCGGTTTGATAGCCGACCAGTCTGGTCGTCTCGGCGAGTTCTGGCGAAGCGTCAAGCGGGGGAGGAAAGTCAACAGTCGCCAACCAGCTACAGAATCCGGGTGTCGCGAGAGGTGTAGAAGGGGTGTCAGGAGCGCCAACGAAAAGAGTTGGCACAGGTTAGGCGGTAACCTCCGCGACAGGGGTGGTTGCCTGCTATCGTAAAGGGGGCCAATGTCCCAGTTCGCCACGGCAGCGAACCTGTCAGCATGTGTCGCCAGCTCCTCTGGCGAGGAGTAGCGTGGGATTTGAGCGGGGATTGGCGGTTCGGCGTTTGGCCGGCTGCGGCTCGGAGTCGGGATGGAGTTGGTGGTTGGAATTGTGGCCGTCGGATTTACATCCTGCGGCCCGCGTTCCGTCTCATGCCTTGCGATTGGTGGGTTCTGGGCACCTTCCCTTCCAATGCGAGTCTCTCCTTCCTCTTGCTCGTCTCCCTCGCCCTCACTTGAAGAAGGCTCACTCTCGGTCATATATGTAGGGTCCTGCTGCTCCTCTAAAAATCCATCTTCTCCCGTTGTTGTTAAAGCCCTTCGTCCCGCAGCCTGGAAGCCATTCTCTGGGCCACCTCCCGCTCGACGCGTCTCTCGATCTCCCTCCTCTACTCCCTCAGGGTCAGCATCTTCCGTATTTGCAGCTAGCAGCATTAAAGCCATCCGCCCAGCCGCTTGGAAGGCGTTCTCAGGTCCTCCTCCTGCTCCGCTTCCTCCTCGTCGACCCGCTCCCCGGCGTCTTCCCCCTTGCGATGGTGATCGCTGGTGGGCCTGAGCTGACACCAGTGCGCGCTGCCGTTGCGTCAGTGGTGCGCGAAAGGACACCGCCGGTGTCTGCATCGGCAAACGTTGCGGCGAAGCCGCCATTGCCGCCTGCCCCGAAAACCGCGTCGTCGCCCTCTGAGGAGCCGGTTGCTGCAAATCCTGGGTCCCAGGCTGTAGCGTCGCCTCCGGCTGCTGTGAACGCTCCTCTTGCTCCTGTTCGCCTCGAGCTTGAACTCGTGGTCCCTGTCGCGGTTGTTGCGCCGCCTGTCGCCCCCGTCCCTGCTGCACCAATGGTCGCCCCTGCCCCTGCTTCTGTTGGCGGCGACCTGGTGCTAGCGGCGGTGTCCGCCACCACTGGCGGCCCGGCCCCGGCGGTGGTGCCTGCCGAGGCTGTCCAATCGGCGCCTGCAGCGCCCCCGATGGTTCCGTCTGGGCTGCACTGTCGTCCACAATCTCCGGATCGCCGCCCGTCACGGCCCCATTCACCCTACCGGCAGGACGAACGCGAGTCAGCGCGGCGTCGTCAGGAGTCACCTCAGCGCCGCCAATCGGGCGGGAGCTGGCACGCGCGGCGGGGTGGTCGAGGGGGCTGGAGGGGAGGTCAAGGTCGAGGACGTGGCGGGGCGTTTGATGCGCCGGTGACGATGGCGGACTTGCAGCGGGTCGTAACGGCTGCGATGCGCGAGGAGAGGGCCTTGCAGGCGAACCAGCTATTCCCGCGTGCACCGGCTCCTCCTCCTGTTGTACCTCCTGTGGCTGCACCGCCGGCTGTTGCCCCTCGTCCGCCTGCTCTCTCTGCCCCTTATCCGTCCCTTCTGCCTGGTGATTCTGCTCCTCAGACAACTGGCGCTGCGCAGCCGTTCCAGGCGTTTGTGGGACCTCTTCGCGCGGCAGAGGTCCCGGAGGCGACCCTTGGGTAGTTGTGGCGCCTCTCTGAGGGGTTGCGGGCTGTTCTTCTGATTCAGATGTATGGCCACGCTGGTCTCTCTCGTGGGAACTCTCTGGATGACGGTTCCCGGGAGGAGTGTCTTGACGCCGCGGATCGGCTCGCGGAGCTCCTGGCGCCCGTGTTGGCTGCGCCCGCGAGGGGAGGAGTTGCCGGCGTTGGGCAGCTGGGGACGGCTGTACGAGGCTTGCGGCGCTTTTCGCGCGCTGGGACTGCAGCCGATGTGATCGGCGCAAGCACGGCGGTGGTGCGGGAGCTGCATCGCTCGCTGACTGGGCTTCTCGCGGTTCTTGACGCGGACCAGATGTAGCGTCCGCCGAGGCTTCTTCCCCGCTTGCATGCTCCTCTTGCCCCATCTCTGTCCTTTTAGTTGATGCCAAGTCTTGCCATGCGTGTATGCCGATGCTATAGTAGTTATTGTTGCGCCTGATGTGCTTGCCGGCCGCGCTGTCGAGCGTTGGCCGCCGAAGGCGGCCGGCGCGAGCGAAAAAAACCAGCACCAAAACTGAATGATGAGGAGAAGAGGCCCAGGAGGCCCCTTATATAGCTAGGATAGGAGAGGGCAGAGGGCTAAGGGCAGAGGGCAGAGGCTAGTACCCTCTCTCTCTCTCTCTCTCTCTCTCTCTCTCTCTCTCTCTCTCTCTCACTCTCTCTCTCTCTCCCCCTCCCTCCCTCCCTCTCTCTCCCACTCTCTCTCTCTCTCTCTCTCTCTCTCTCTCTCTATCTCTCTCTCTCTCTCTCTCTCTCTCTCTCTCTCTTGTTCTTCTTTCTATCTCTCTCCCTCTCTCTCTCCCTCTCTCTCTCTCTCTTTCTCTCCCAGGATAGTCTGCTGCTTGACACGTGGTGCTGTATTGATGTCCGTTTGTCATTTTTAACAAGATTTCTCTTGATCATTCAAGCATTTACTATGTTGAAAACATGCTGGACAGATTTGGTACCATTCACAGCACGTGGTAGGAATATATAGTGTTTCTAACAATTGAGCTGGGAAAATTCTGTAAGGATAGGCCTGCGCGCGACGTGGTGTTGTATCGACATCCGTTTGTCATTTGTAGCAAGGTTTCTCTTGATCATTAAAACATTTACTATATTTAAAACATGCTGGACAGAATTGGTACCATCTGCACAACGTGGTAGGAACATATGGTGCTTCAAACAATTTAGCACTGAAAACTGTGCAAGGATAGGCCTGTGCCCGACGTGGTGCTGTATCGACGTCCGTTGGTCATTTGCAACAAGATTTCCCTTGATCATTCAAGCACTTACTATGTTGCAAGCATGCTGGACAGATTTGGTGCCATTCACAGCACGTGGTAGGAATATATTGTGTTTCAAACAATTGAGCTGGAAAAAATCTGTAAGGATAGGCCTGTGCGCAACGGGGTGTTGTATCGACGTCTGTTTGTCACTTGTAGCAAGTTCTCTCTTGATCATTTAAGCATTTACTATATTTAAGACATGCTGATCAGATTTAGTACCATTCACAACACGTGGTAGGAATATACGGCATTTCTTAAAATTGAGCACTGAAAACTGTGCAGGGATAGGCATGTGCGCCACGTGGTGCTGTATTGACGTCCGTTTGTCATTTTGTAACAAGATTTCCCTTGATCATTCAAGCACTTACTATGTTTCAAGCATGCTGGGCAGATTTGGTACCATTCACAGCACGTGGTAGGAATATATGGCATTTCTAACAATAGAGATGGACAAAATCTGTAAGGATAGGCATGTGCGCGACGGGGTGCTGTATTGACGTTCAAGTTTTCTCTTGATCATTTAAGCATTTACTATATTTAAAACATGCTGGACAGATTTAGTACCATATGCAGCACGTGGTAGGAATATATGGTGCTTCAAACAATTGAGCACTGAAAACTGTGCAAGGATAGGCCTGTGCCCGACGTGGTACTGTATCGACGTCCGTTGGTCATTTGTAACAAGATTTCTCTTCATGATTCAAGCATTTACTATTTTGCAAGCATGCTGGACAGATTTGGTACAATTCGCAGCACGTGGTAGGAATATATTGTGTTTCAAACAATTGAGCTGGAAAAAATCTGTAAGGATAGGCCTGTGCGCGACGGGGTGTTGTATCGACATCTGTTTGTCATTTGTAGCAAGGTCTCTCTTGATCATTTAAGCATTTACTATATTTAAAACATGCTGATCAGATTTAGTACCATTCACAGCACGTGGTAGGAATACACGTGGTAGGAATATATGGTGTTTCTAAGAATTGAGCACTGAAAACTGTGCAGGGATAGGCATGTGCGCCACGTGGTGTTGTATCGACGTCCGTTGGTCATTTGTAACAAGATTTCCCTTGATCATTCAAGAATTTACTATGTTGCAAGCATGCTGGACAGATTTGGTACCATTCACAGCACGTGGTAGGAATATATGGTATTTCTAACAATTGAGCTGGTCCACTCTCGTTTCGAAGAACTTCAAGAGGTCATCTGCGAGACGAAGCTCGAAGTTCAAGGGATAAAGGACGTTTGATGGTTGTCTCGTGGTCAAGCTATCCAGCGCTTGGTGAAAGTGTTTCCGACAGCAGTGATGGTCTTGCACGAGTTAAACTACAAGATGTACCACGTCATCACTAGTTACAAATTCCATTTCTTGCTGTTCTTCCTTGCGGATGTGCTGAAGGAGCTCAACCTTCTCAGCTTGAAGTTCCAGCGTCACCAGGTGAGCATGTATAGCGGGAATTCGGTGGTTGATGTCATTGACTGTTTCACTAACCAGCTCTGTTGTTGCTATCCCGTTTACAGGTCGACGCAACCCATGTGCTGCTGATGGTACACAACACCACTTTGCTGCTGCGCACTCGTTACCTCGACAGCGACGACGAGCCTTTCGGCGAGGGCGGAGAAGCGCTGGGCCCGTTTCTCAAGAAGCACGCGTCAGGGGAGTTCCGTGAGGTACTCGTTGCTGGCACGGCATCCGACGGTACTTCGCGCTCCCATCGGTACCAACTTCACGAGGAGAAAATCGACGGACAGAAGAGTGGTGCGGACAACCGAGTGTGTTTGGAGCTGGCGCGCAGGTTCATTACCACCTTGGTTAGTAGGCTCGACTACCGCCTCAAGGACCTTTCACTGCTCGACGGGGCGAAGCTGTTCAAGCATGGATCATATCCCAAGAACCAGGCGAAGCGTGAGCGCAGATTAGGACAATGGCTTCAGTCTCTGCGCAACATGTTCAAGAAGAACCCTGAAGACCCGGATACTATATCACGTGCGTTACATCCCTTTCGTTTGTTGCTTAAGTGATGTGTTTATTGTCTTTTCAAATTCATGTTTAACCCGTTTATAAGCTCCTTTCACCAACGCCCTTGTGCGCACCCCTACCGCAGGCATCAACTGGGCAAGAGTGCAGAGGGAGATCGTCACCTTCTCTACTATCATGGCCTCACACCAGGAGGATGTGGGGTTTGCGGACAGTCTGAAGCTCATGCTGTCCTCACCCGACTGTACGACATGCTACCCGAACCTCGTGCACTTGTGGATTGCCGTAGCCGTGCTTCCGCTTAGCACCGTGGAGTGCGAGCGCGGCTTCTCACGGCAGAACATCATCAAAAGCTGGCTTCGCAGGAACCTGTGTGACGCGAAGCTCGGAGAGTTGATGGTCATCTGGCTTCTTAGCTACGACATGAAGTGGCCCGAGTTACTGAGGAGGTGGCATGCTTACAAGAAGCGCAGGCCTGCCAAGGATGTGCTGATGGCGTCAGGGGAGAGACAGAGCAAGCGTGCGAAGAAAAGATCTGCCTCAGCAGCAACAACAGCAGCAGCAGCATTGGCAGCAGCAGATGCAGCGGCTCGAGAAGTAGCCCTAGCAGCAGAAGCAGCAAGGCTGGATGCTGAGTACCCCTGGCTTAGTCGGAACGATAAGGCCAAAGTCCCTGAGCCATTGGTGGAAAGCAAGGATTCCAGTGACGATGAAGTGAGCGGCTATAGTGACTCAAACTATGTGTGTGTGTGTGTTTTTTTTTTTTTTTTTATATATATATATATATACTTTCAGACATGCCCAAAACCTAGCGAGAACCCTGGTTGACATATACGGAAAACCAGACGATATAATATAGTGGGCTATTTTTTCCCGAGGACACTATCACACTTGCTGCATTTACATCGAACATTACAATTGCACTCTCCCTATGATACTAGATGGTTCGGGAGGGATACTTTGATGTGTTTCTACGCCTTTGGTATACTTCACGATTTTGTACCATGATTGGCTTGAGAGGTGCATTAGTCCAGTGCTGCAGGTTCTTTTCGACTGCCAACGGGAGGCGTGGAGAGGAGGAAAAGAGGATGGGGAGAATGGAGGAAAGGAAAAACATTGTACCGTAAGACAAGGTGATTGCTGAATGAGAAAGGGGTGTTCGGTGAAAACAAGAATGTGGAAGTGAGTGCAATCGTAAAGAAAAGGAGTATAGGTGGGGTGAAACCCGAACTACTCATTTCTCATCCCATACACAAGTGTCTCCTCCCAACCTTGGCACTAGTGTCCTCAAACGCCCCCAACACTCCTAACCTCTCTCATCCCTAACAACTGTTCCCTTGCCCCTCCCGCACACTTGTGTCCTCCTGCATCTGTCCTCTTGCACTCTAGACTTACCCTTATAGTAGCTTACCCAGCAGATATACATATGGGCAGCAATGAGCAAGTGCTGCAAGCAGCCAATGAGTAACCCGGAGAGCATTGGTGGGTGGTGCAGGGAAAATAGTCCTCTTCACGTGCAAGCCTGAGAAGGGATGTTGGGAGCAGACATAGTTGAAGAGAAGGTAAGATGTGTGGAGGGATGATTGGCATCTGCATGATGATGGTGCAAGGCGAGAAGACATGCAGTCCCTTCGCATGCAAGTTGGGGAGGGTGGGGCAAGGGGGGAGGCAGGTTGATAACAAAGTTTTAAACTAAGATCATAGAAGCACGGCACACGCAGAGCTGCTTGGGTGCATTATGGAAAGTAATGTGGACTGGTGAAGTGCCCGTCGATATGTCTGATACTATCACACTTTTTTTAAAACCCATTGCACCCTCCGTCTCACCTATACCAGTCTGGAAGATGGCGCAACATGTCCACCTCCCCTCTCCTCAAAGGTGGTGTGTATCATTCCCCCTTCTTGCACGTTGCAGGTCCATAAGATGCCGTCTTTCCTGACGTCGCAAACGCTGAACCAATAATACGTTGGCTCTTTCATAATCAACACTTGGCGGAAACTCGAACGGGACGTGGCTTAAACTTGATGCAGTGGGGTGGTTTTGCATAGGCTGCACTAGCGAATGAAAGAGGGCTGGTCGTTGTTGCGGTTGGTGAAACATTTCTGAAGAACGTGGTGATGCATACAGATTCTGCCATTGTTGTTGTTGCTGCCACCACACGCTCTGCGCATGTTGTTGTTGGCGCAGCTGCATTTGTAGATGGTGTATCTGCTGCTGCAAATCAGAGGTTTCTGGTGCGACCTCGTTCAGAACTGTATTGTCCATTTGCCGATGCTGCAACCTTGATGCCCTCCTCCCTCGACCATTGCCCCGGAGCCTTGAACCTCTGGGACTCGGATGTTGTTCGCTGTTACGGGTGCCCCGACGACCACCAGATCGACGAGCCACCCTCGAACCTCCCTCCAGCCTAACACCTTCCTCAGGTTCGATATCCTCTGATTCCTCAGAACCATCTTCTGGTATCACTTCAGTTTGCAATCGTAGTCGTTGACGTCGTCTCACACGGCGTGCTACCAGCGCATCGTCAGGTGAAAGGTCATGCCCTCTGACTCTTAAATGACCCCAGTTCTGTGCCACTATGTTATTGTTTACCAGATCAAGTCCAGGTGCCTCCTGCGGCCCTGCTGCAGTACCCACGCCAACATCAACAGGATCCACATCAGCCTTTGCTGGCATGATACCAGCAGACGTCTCGATTCCCTCCATGCCCCCCTTGGTCTCGATCATCCCTTCTCCACCATCCATAGTTGTCTCTCCACCATCATTAAGGCTTTGCCGATCTGTATCAACACTATCCTCCCGTCTTCCAAGCTGTATGGATGGATCTCCCAAAGTCAGAACTTCCCATTCCTCTTCACCAGTAGTCTGCCCTTCAATTCCAACCTCCTCTTCACCCTCAGATTATGACCCGCTTGTACCACCATCGCATCCCTCGTCAAAGTCCACAGTTTCTGGATTGGTTGTGTTCAGAACCTCTCTACCACCCGCAGACGATGTGTCACTATTCACATCCGCATCCTCTGGTATATCCCTAATGTGTACAATCCACTCATGTGGCGGAGTATTTCCCCGTTCAGTGACATGCTGGATATGCTGCTGAACTTGCTCTTGCCCTTGTGGCTGCCGAACCTGCCCTTGCCCTTGTGGCTGCTGAACCTGCCCTTGCCCTTGTGAACGCTGAACCTGCCCTTGCCCTTGTGGCTGCTGAACCTGCCCTTGCCCTTGTGAATGCTGAACGCGCCCTTGTGGCTGCTGAACCTGCCCTTGCCCTAGTGAATGCTGAACCTGCCCTTGCCCTTGTGGCTGCTGAACCTGCCCTTGCCCTTGTGGCTGCTGAACCTGCCCTTGCCCTTGTGAATGCTGAATGCGCCCTTGCCCTTGTGGCTGCTGAACCTGCCCTTGCCCTTGTGTCTGCTGAACCTGCCCATTCCAACCTTGCATCTCCGCTTGTTGAATTCGGGGACCCCCTTCCCAATGCTCCCAAGTTTTCCCTATAGTATCATGCTGTTCCTGCCTGTGATACCTCGGGATTTGCTGTTGCCTGTGTTGCCCAGATCCCTGCTGCCCTCTCCGTTGAGACTGTTGCTGCCTCTGTCCCTGCAGCTGCCCTTGTCCTTGGTGCTGATGGTCTTGACGTTGTTGCTGTCTCTGACCTTCCTGGAACACGTGTCCTCTCTGCTGCCAACTCCCTGATTCCTGCTTATTCCCTTGCCGCTGCCCACTCACTTGCTGCTGCCCATTCCCTTGCCGCTGCCCACTCACTTGCTGCTGCCCATTCCCTTGCCGCTGCCCACTCACTTGCTGCTGCCCATTCCCTTGCCGCTGCCCATTCACTTGCTGCTGCCCATTCACTTGCTGCTGCCCATTCCCTTGCTGCTGCCCATTCACTTGCTGCTGCCATTCCCTTGCTGCTGCCCATTCACTTGCTGCTGCCCATTCCCTTGCTGCTGCCCATTCCCTTGCCACTGCCCATAACCTTGCTGCTGCCCATTCCCTTGCTGCTGCCCATTCCCTTGCTGCTGCCCGTTCCCTTGCTGCTGCCCGTTCCCTTGCTGCTGCCCATTCCTGCCCATTCCCTTGATGCTGCCCATTCCCTTGCCGCTGCCCATTTCCTTGCCGCTGCCCGTTCCCTTGCTGCTGCCCATTCACTTGCTGCTGCCCATTCCCTTGCCGCTGCCCATTCCCGTGCTGCTGCCCATTCCCTCGCTGCTGCCTGTTCCCTTGCTGCTGCCCATTCCCTTGCTGCTACCCATTCCCTTGCTGCTCAACGTTGTGTTGCTGCTGCCCGTTCCTTTGCTGCTGAGCGTTCATTCGCTGCTGCCCGTTCCCTTGCTGCTGCCCGTTCCCTTGCTGCTGCACGTTCCCTTGCTGTAGCCCCTCCCCTTGCTGCCATCTCTTACCTCGCTGCAGCCCCTCCCCTTGCCATGCATCACCTCGCTCCTGCCACTCCCCTTGCTGCCATACATCACCTCGCTGTAGCCCCTCCCCTTGCTTTTCCCTCTGTCCTTCTTGCAGCCCGTGCCCCAGCTGCTGCACATTCCCTTGTCCTTGCTGCGGTTGTTGTCCTTGCTCCAGCACTCCCTGCCTTTCGTGCTCATGTTGTTGCTGTGGCAATTGCACTTGCCTTTGCCCCCCATGGCACGCCCCCCCTAGCCTATGTCGACATTGACAGCCCGGGCACTGAACAAAGTCAATGGACAGTCGCGATAATGTTGTGGCCCTTTAACTTACACCTGCTGCACCTGCGCATCTGTTGCGGATCAATCTCACCACTGGACCTGATTCTTTTGTTTTTTCTCCTTCCCGATTTTCACTTATACTTGGGTGGAAGCGTGACATTCTCCTGCACGATAGACGTTGGATCGATGTGCTCCAATTTCTCCCCGTACATGGCCTTGATGGTATCAAGGTGATACACACGATGAACCATGTCAAAGAGAGGGGGGGGAAGGGGAGGGAAGGGGGGGTTGGAGAGGGGGGATGGGGAGCAGGTTGGAAAGGGGGATGGGGAAGACGGACAAGAGATAGATCTTCATGTTTTGTTTTTCAGATTTTCACATCATGGGGACAATGTTCCAGTTTTTGTTGCATGCACATGGCACAGCATAGTAGGTGGGCAGATTCACAACGCTTCTCTACTCAAATTGCATATACGTACTTGGTTTGCAGCTGCACGTCCCCGCCTCAAGATCCGCCACACGTGACTCCCGTCGGCCGGTATGAGTAACGGCATATGATGATGGCCCGGTGCTTTCCACATCGTAGCTCAAAGAGTCATCCTTGTTGGCAGTTACTATGACAGTTGCATTCTTGGTCCACGTTCCGGGCATTTGAGAGTATAGTAAGAACTGACGCCGCCTTCTCTTTGCTAGATTCTCTATCCATCCAAGAAGAACTTGTGCAGTGGTTCGATCACGTAGATGATGCATTGAAGCATGTTGGGACTCTACAGGGTTTGACAAGAGGACCCCAAACCTAGGCCCAGGAAAATGAACAGTTGCCCATTTTGATAACAGCTCACCGCTTTCTCCTTGCCTTGCCTCCTGGACATGCATTCTCTATTTTCTGCAAGCGGAACTCAAACAGCTCAATGTTCAATGTTTCAGCAGCCTCTTTGATAGGCACGCTCATGTCCTTCCCGAATTTCTTTGTGAAATTTCGGCCAATGTGGGTGATGCAATGAGACTCATGTGCCTGCTCAAGCAACCTTGCACACGAGCTCCAGCCGGAACTCCGATCATGCTTTATAACCCATAGATCAGAATTGAGCTCGGGAAACACCTTCAGAAGCTCACGGATAGGAAGAGCACAACTTTCATTGCTTTCGGACTCCACAAATGCGATACCAACAGACACATAGTGACCGTCTCCATCCAATACGACGAGGTTGATCGTCCGGCCTCCCCATACTGTTTTGTTATGACATCCATCAATAATCAAGATTGGCACGGCGTTCAACATTGTTGAACGTGCAACGCTCGGGATTGCACATGCACTGTAGAAACGGCCATCTTGCTTAGTAAACGACACGACGCTGCCAGGGTTTTTTAGCACGAAGTTCTCAAGAATACTTCGTACATACTGGAATGATGTATCATTTTGCTGTGGGTCAGCCATTTTGATGTCATGGCACGCTCTCCGTGAAGTCGTGTAAGATGATCTCTGACCGGTATGCTGCAATAATTCCGTGACCAAGGTTTTTGGTTGTAGGGCCACATTCGGAATGGTGTTCGCAAACTCTATCAGATCTGCTCGTGATGCCCCTTTGGGACGTACTGTGCAATAGACCGAATGCTGCAGGCTTGCTGTGACAACTCTTAGCGAGCCATCGAAACATGACCTAACGGTGATCATGAAAGGACAAGGGTGCTCATTTTCTGGTTCCTTATCGACAGAAGATGTCTTCTTGCCCCGACACGCATCAGATGGACACCGTGCCTCCACCCTTTCCGGTTTGTTTTCGTTAAAGTGGAAGGGGCAACTTGTAGCACGGTATTGTTTTTTTTTGTCATCTTTCGCCTCGTCCGATGAAGCATAGCGCTTCCCCACGTAAAATTCCATAGCATCCAGAGAGTTATTCATCTGGACATGTTTCAGAAAGTTAACAAAGAGAACGGGAGAGAGGGAGAGCAAACAGTGAAAATTACAAAACCAATGGAATTTTGGAGACAAATATAATAAAGTTCTAAGGGGGGCGTCGATGGTTGTATGAGACGACGATTCAAAAAAATCGTCTATTACTAGGCTACAATTAGTAATCTCCGTCTTACTGAGAGGTATGGTGCTAATACCAAAGATGGAAATGCTACTCAATGTGTACAATGCAGAAGGGACTATGAAAGAAAGGCATAGATGCCTAGGTGATGTCAATGCACACCTTTTATCAATGCAGACTAGGAGGTGCCAGCTAACTTTTCCCGCAAGATGCGGTGGCAGAAAATGTCAAGGTGTTTTAGGGTTGTGCGGGAATGCTTGTTGAACGGAGAAGTGCAGCACTTAGACGTATGTTGAGTTGTTCGCGAAGTCCCCAAAGTTTCACGAAGTTACTAAGGAAACAACTTTGCAAAGCCATATGCCAGCTTGCAATGGTTGCAGGTCGCTCCTTCCTGTGACCCCCATTTAACGAAATCCGCCAGGGCCAGTTCGATAGGTTGTGACCTGGCGCATAGGCCAGGCCCGAACTGCCCTGGCAGGTCTGTGCGCTGCTTCGGGCGTACATTGTAGGGGCGCGACTCACCCGACCCAAATTGGCCACTTCCCTGCTATTTTCCGGCCCGAGTTTGATCTTTGCCCCTGAAAGATCACGTCGAGCAGTTTCTCTGGCAGGCCTCGCAACAAACAGAATGGACGGGACAGAGTTGACGGACGTCAGAACTGACGAGGAACGTCTGGCGGATCGGGGCGCTAAGGGCGGGTCATACTTATCACAGGTCAGGTCAATTTTGGTCGCTGTAACCATTTTTTTCAGGGTAACCGCATCAAATTTTGAGCCAAATGTATCATGACGTGATAGTTCGCCGCGCATGAACTCGCAGGAACGTGCAATATCACAGTAACTGCACATTAAAATTTTGTTATGATTTCGCATTGTTCCACTGCCAAAGCCGCTCCACCCTCGCCAATTGTCACGTACGAATATTAACGACATGAGATGTTTCGCAAGCGCGTGGTCCCTCTCGCCCTTCCCCTCAAAATATAACCAACCTTTGTGGTCTCAACATTTCCTGGTTACCCTTGGTCATTTTTGAAAAAAATGTGTGATTTCCCAATTGTGATGAGTATGACCCGCCCTAAGGCAGACTCCACCAACCACGAATCGGCCATTGCCGTCGGATCCACTGGGGATGCGGATTTAGCTGATCCCGCAGATATTTCGGATAATGTCGTTACTGCAAAGGGACCGTGTCAAACATATATGCTATAGCTTGTTTAGGCAGTAGTGGGGTAGTCAATATGGGGTACAACACTTTAGGGTTTCACTACTTGTACCCAACTTCCTGCTAATGCAATCACTTCTTGTTTCTAGATTCTGACATGGTTTCAGAGCAGGTCCTCCGTTAGGACCGGTTTTCTTAGGGCCCACCACACAGTCACTACTGACTGCCCCTGACTGCCCTCGCGCCCTCGTGCGCCCTGTCCTGCCCGCGCCATAGTGCGCTCTGCTTTGCTCGCGCCCTCGAGCGCCACCCTGAATAGCGCGCTGCAGCCGATCGCGCGCCGCCCGTTAGACGCGCACGCAGCCCAGCGCGGCCCCGTGCAGCTGCGCGCGCCGCCAGTCAGCCGCCCACGCCGCCCGCTAGCAGCCCGCGCGGCCCCGTGCAGCTTCGCGCGCAGCCCGCACGCCGCACACGCAGCCCGCACGCCGCACGCACAGCCCGCAAGCCGCTCGCGCAGCCCGCTAGCCGCCCGCGCGGCCCCGTGCAGCTTCGCGCGCAGCCCGCTAGCAGCCCGCGCTAGCCGCACGCAGCTCGCGCAGCCCGCTAGCCGCACGCACACCGTCGTGCAGCCCCGCGCGCAGCCCGCAGGCCGCCCTCGCTAGTCGCAAGCAGCCCGCGCGCGCCCGCAAGCTGCCCGCGCGCAGCCCACAAGCAGCCCGCATGCGCCCTGCCTGCTCGCACCGCACCGCCCTGCCCGAGACGCGCAGCCCCAGCCGAGCCGCGCCGCCCAGCCGAGCCGCGCCGCCCTGCCCGAGCCGCGCCGCCCTGCCCGAGCCGCGCCGCCCTGCCCGAGTCGCGCCGCCCTGCCCTATCGAGCTGCGCTACTGCTACTGTCTCCTACTGCAGCTGCTGCTGTTACTACTGCTACTGCTACTGTTACTGCTGTTACTACTGCTACTGCTGTTACTGCTGCTACTGCCAGTATGGCCAACCCCACCGTTCTCGTGTTCGATACTGAGGGCCGCCCTATCCAGTTTGATGCCTGGCTCGACGATCAGCCCCTGTTCCTACAGATTACAGCCAAGGACGATATCTCACTGTTCGATCACACGTCTGGAGCCTCCTTCGCACCTGCTGAGACCGCTGACAGCTCGATTCGCTCACAGTGGCAGACCCGTGACGCTCACGCTCGCCTAGCCGTTTGCAGCCACCTGCCGATAGACCAGCGTGCGCACTTTGGCCAGCATAAGACCGCTAAGGCGCTGTACGATGCGGTAGTTGCACGCTACTCTTCCCCTGCCACTGCTGCGATCGGTCGCCTCTCGCTGCCCTATCTTTTCCCCGATCTAGCTGCTTTTACCACAGTCGCTGACCTCATCACTCACCTCCGTACTAGTGACACTCGCTACCGAGCTGCCCTTCCTGCCGAGTTCCTAGCCAAGAACCCCCCCCCAATGTACCTCACCCTTTATCACCTCGTCGCCCGTCTCCATGACTCTCTTCGTCCAGTCAGGGACCACTTCCTAGCTCTCTCCCCCACCGAGCTCACCGTTGACCTGCTTGAGACACAACTGCTTGCAGTTGAGGCTAGCATTAACGCAGTAGGTGCCTCTCGTGGCGAACCCCGCACCCCGTTCTTCGAGGGGTGTTCCCCCTGCCCCCTGCTTCCCTCGTTTGCCTCTGCTGCTGCTGTTGACCTTCTTGGTGCTGAGAAGGCCGGGACTGCGTCTGCTCCTAGTGGGACGCGCCGCAGCGGCAGGGGCAAGGGGGGCAAGGGGGGCGGAGGTGGAGGCGGGGGAGGTGGTGCTGGAGGTGGCGGAGGCGGTGGGGGTGGTGGCGGCGGTGGGGGTGGTGGGGGGAGTGGGGGGGGCAGTGGTAGCGGCGGGAGTGGTGGTGGCATTGGTGGGGGAGGAGGCTGGGGTGGAGGCGGTGGTGGTGGCGGCAGTGGGCGTGGTGGCGGCGGCGGTGGCGGTGGTCGCCGTGGAGCGGCGCAGCGTGGAGGTTCTGGTAGTGACCAGCGCCAACAGCAGCAGCGTCCCCGCGAGACCCCGTCTTCCCAGCAGCTTCGTGAGTGGTACTCTCAGCGAGGTGGGGGGTCTGGGGGTGGGGGTAGCTGCCCGTACGTCATCCGCACTGGTGACCGCGCTGGCCAGACGTGTGGGAGGTTCCACACGCAGCACCGCTACTTCTCTCGCCTCGACGACGCCTGGCGCGCACAGTTTTCTGACGCCG